TTTTCATTCAATCAGCAGGTTGAACAGCTATAGCCGGCGGCACTGATCGTTCACAAAAAAAAAAACCAATAGGCTGATTGTACGCAAGCTGATCAATAGATTGTCTTGTGTACAACCAGCCTGCCCATACATGGATCAAAATTAGGCCAGTCCCTGCTGAACCAGCTGAATTTTGATCCATGTACAGTATGGCCAGCTTAACTCCTTCCTCTGTGTATCACCTGTACGGTAATATATGTAGTGCACCATTCTCAGGCTTGGGATTTAACCTCCTCAGTACTGGCATGTTTCTTTATTTTTAAAAAATGGTGTCAAAAAATGCAATCATCTTGGGATATTTACTTTCCAGAAAATTGCTTTTTGGCAGGGATTCATATTTTAACAGACCGTAAGGGTAATTGTTTTTTCTTCAAAATTTTTGTCTTTTTAAAACTCAAATTAAAAACTCAGAGCTTGCTTTTGGTGATATTTAATAACTGCTATCTGTCACCACAAAAATGGCACAGTGGCTAAATGGTTAGCACTTCAGCCTGGCAGTACTCGGGTCATTGGTTCGAATCCCAACCATGGCACCACCTGCCTGGAGTTCGCATGTTCTCCCTGTGCCTGCTTGGGTTTCCTCCAGGTACTCCGGTTTCTTCCCACACTCCAAAGACATGCTGGTAGGTGAATCGGCTCCTGTCTAAATTGGCCCTAGTATGTGTATGTATGAATGTGAGTTAGGGACCTTAGATTGTACGCCCCTTGAGGGTTAGGGACCTTAGATTGTACACCCCTTGAGGGTTAGGGACTGATGGGAATGTACACTATGTATGTAAAGTGCTGCGTAAATTGACGGCTCTATATAAGTACCTGAAATAAATAAATAAGTAAAACCCATTTGGGTCCAGTGTTGCATAGTGGAAGAATTGTCAGTCAAACTATCACTGCACTGAAAGAAAACAACCAAAAAAAAAGCCCCTATTTCAGGCTGGATCACTTTAAACCGTGTGCAGGTTTTCTTTTTTTTTTTTTTTTTAAATGGTTAAATAGTTCACAGTAGTTCATTGTCATACATTGGCCAGAGAAAGATCATATCCATTTCTGATCCATTGATGTGTGTTGCAGGGGAATCTGGTTTGAGTGGCAGCACGTCAAAGAATGACAACGCATCTGCCAAAAGCAATAAAAAAAATTGCAGAAAAATGCAGACGCATGGGCATAAAACCTTCCTTAATACTGCAGAAGTGACATGATGTGAAAGAGCTAAGAATAATGTCTGCATTGGATGTATGTGAAAGTGCCGCACCAGCACAGCAACTGAGACATTTGAAGGGGTCACGTTACCAAGAAACATCAAATATATCTCTGGGGAATCCGTGAGAACTGCTCACTTGAGCTTCAGGTTTCACATTTACTGCAGCCATTAGGGAGGGGGTCCCACTTTCAGTGCAGGAATATGGAGAAAGCAGCAAGAGGAATGGAGGGTCCCAGGGTGGGCCGGAAATTGGGATGAGGGCAGGGGTGTGGGGGCGAGTTAATCAGTTATGTCTGAGAACTTGCTCAAAATCCACTTGATATTGCAGGAGCTACAGTATTTTCCTCCTATTCCTTCTGTATTGAACTGTATTGTAATTGTACTGTCCCCTTTATATTGTAAAGCGCTGCGCAAACTGTTGGCGCCATAAATCCTGTATAATAATTTCAAATCGATACAATTACATTATGAAGACGACCCTTTGGAGAAGATCTGTAGTCATTTATTGACTCTTTATCTGGGTAGCAATAAAAACCAATTCTGAGATGCAGAAACAGAACTGGCAATGCAAAGTGACCTGCGGATTTGGTGATTATATCTGTTTCCAAACAGAACTGCATTTTACTGAGAAGAAGAGATGAAGTCTTAGAAAATGTTTTTGTTTCTACACAAGCACAGAGGAGGCATTGATCGGCGGTATGTCATCTGGGGAGCATAGAGGGATCTGTTGTGTGCATGGGAAGTGAAAGCCAGTCGGATAGTATCTCTTCTCAATGTCAAGAGCTTTTAACCTCTGTCCTTGCAGTGCACTGGAAGCCTGCTTGTAAGAATAAATGCAGATTAACTGTTTTAACACTTTTAGGGTTTAAAATATTCACAGCATTTTCAAGCAGGCAAAAGCCTTTGTCAGATGGAGCCACTTGGAAGCTATGTGTAGGAAGCTGCTCTAGTTAAGTAGCAGGTTTTTGCTTTACGATAAAAGATTTTAGACCATTAACTATGAACATTCATTGGGGGAATTTTTTTGTTTTAAACTGGAGCAGTTGTGCATGGCAACCAATCAGCTTCTATCTACAGCTTGTTCAGTTCCACTTTGAAATGAAAGATAGAAGCTGATTGGTTGTCATGTACTGGTGTTCCAGATCCAGCTTACATGGTGTGTGTGTGTTTTTTAATCTATTTATGGCTCATACCAATAACAAATCACAGTACATGCAACGAGTAAGGCCTCTTTCACATGGGGCAGAGTCCACTTTGCTCGGTGTGGGACCCTTCCTCTGAACAGAACAGAGTGGGAGAGTAACAGGTCTGTGTCTGCTTTGTTTATGGGGGATGAAAGAAAGAGCGCACAAACTTTGTGCATTACCTCAATAAATAGTGACTTATTTTATCCTAGATTGTAAGCTCGAAAGAGCAGGGCCCTCGATCTCCTCATGTTTTGCCTTGTATTGGTATTGTTCTGTCACATGTTCTGTCCCCCTTTGTAATGTACAGCGCTGAGCGAACTATTGGCGCTTTATAAATACTGTATTATAATAATAATAATAATAATTTAGGAAATATACTCACAAAAGGGACACTAAACAGGCTGAAATGCTGTAATACTGACACTCAGTGGCTGAATGTCTCCTTGCCATGGGAACTCTGCCATACTGAAGTTTCTATCTGCCAAACCCAGCTCTGATGAAGAAGGGAGCACCCTTTCGAAACACGTTAGCTTTTATCCCCCCCTTTGGATTTACCTGTAACCCTGGATTATGGTTAACTTATGCCTGTTTTACCGTCACTTTTGTGAGTATATTTCCTAAATAAAATAAAATTAGTCACTATTTATTGAGGAAATGCGCAAGGTTTGTGCGCTCTTTCTTTCATCCTCTTCTACAGTTCTATCAAGCTTCCCCAGCTTCATGATTGAGCTGCACAACCTCTGATCACCAGTGGATGAACACGCTGTTTGTTACTAATGCCCGCTTGATCTGAGTCTTTGAGTGCAGGAGATAATGGATCTTTGGTGTCTGCTTTGTTTATGCAGAGCGGACACAGACACAGCCCACTCTGCTCTATGGACAGTGAGGAGTAAACGGACGCCACTGTACATTTACACCCAACTGGCCTTCTATCCGATGTGCATAAAGGGGAACGGATCCCCTTCCACTTTTAAAATTTTTTTTTTTAGTCGATTGTGGTAGGTCGGTAAATGAACACAAGTCAGCTTACACCTGCCGATCCATAGGAGTACATGGACCATCCAATCAGAGCTAATTAGATGCAGTACAGATGCACACAATAAAGAATCATTAGAAAATAATTTCCTGGTAGGTCAGCAGGTATTCCCTCTCCTTCCCGAACACCAGACCTGGTATACGGTAACATCATCATGGGGAGCCAGGCAAGATAATCAGCTAATCGTGAAATACAGTGCATCTTGCTATGAGCCCCTTTGTTGTTTTTTCTTGATGCTCCCTGGGAACTTTATAGAAACTCTCAACTTTCCTGACAGTTCAGATTTCTTGGCTGATGGTTGACAGAGGTGCAGACTTCTTCCAATAGATCATCTTCGTCATCCATATAGATGTTCACGGTCTCAGCCTCCAGTCTCCTCCAGAGATGAATCATGTCCAAAGGGCTGCTGTGGGTGCCATACTTCATGCAATAACAAAAATGTAGACTGTCGACCTAACCACATACAAATGTGCAAACTAGAGGCAGAATATGGACTTTCTCAGTACGCCATGGACACACAGTACAGCAAAACTATAAAATCAGATATGATTTTAATACAAAAATTAAATTTCAAAAATGTACTCAAAATATAAAAACACGGTAGATGGTTTACCCCAGCATCACATAGAAGGTGGTTTCCCTATTCAGTTGTTCAGTTGTCTCATTGACCAAGGGTATCAATGTGACGGCATATAGGAAAACATCATAAGATGTATAGTCCTCAACATGTTTTGTGGCCCTAAGATGTATAGTCCTCAACATGTTTTGTGGCCCTAAGCTGCTTCTTCAGGAGGTAAGGGGTAGGATCCAGATATTCTAAATAAGCAAAGCCAAACCGTTATAAAACAAGTAACAAGTTACATTTGCATTTTATCCACAACTGAGTGGCATAGGGCAATGCAGATGGATCCACAACTGAGTGGCAATGCAGATGGATCCACAACTGAGTGGCAATGCAGATGGATCCACAACTGAGTGGCAATGCAGATGGATCCACAACTGAGTGGCAATGCAGATGGATCCACAACTGAGTGGCAATGCAGATGGATCCACAACTGAGTGGCAATGCAGATGGATCCACAACTGAGTGGCATAGGGCAATGCAGACGGCCAGCCCGGACAAAACTCACCCCTGGGGCAGGCATGGGAGCAGGCAGACATTGGGAACCAAGCACAATATCCAGTTTTTCTTCTTTTGCTGTGCTTTTTGGATCAATATCCCATTTTTTTCCCCTCGATTCACTGCAGTATATTTGGAGAGTGTTTGTGCTTTAGGCGATAACTACCCCAATGGTCTAAGTCCAGCTGTTTACTCCTCTCTAGTATTTTAGGAAGATTTTGCTTCACTTTTGCTTTTAAATTTTACATGCACAGTTTCCTGGACCTTTATCCACAGGGGTAAGATTTGCCCCTTAGATTTCTCTGATACCTCTGTATCTAGATGTATCCTGATGTTGTACTTATAATGAAAGTGCTATTATCTTAGTGTTTCCTTGTCTTTGCCAGCCTGGCTTACTGTTTGACTCTTCTGTCTTTGTAGACATGAACCGGCACCACTACTCTCTGTACATCCACAACTGCAAAGTGGGCTTCTTGTTTCGTCAGGAGCCCACTGAGGAGAAGACTTACAAGCCTGCTGAATTTCACTGGAAGCTTAATCAGGTCAGTGATGAATATTCTGTACAATATCTATTTTTGTGTTGGTCATATAGATATGTACACATAGATCACCAGTGTTCTGAACCTTATGTTTTCCATACAGCTGTGTGAGGGTGCTTTTTCCACATCTTTACTAGTGATCATATATTCCTTTCGATGCGGAGTGTAGAGAATGCAGGGGCGGACTGACCATTTGGAAACTCGGGAACTGCCCGGGGTCAGTAGGGGGCCCCATGAGATGCCTCTGGTACCTTTTTTCATAGGCTTTTTTGAGTTTGGGCAAGGACACAGGGGCCCCCATGATCCCCAATTGCCCGGGGGCCCCATGAGTTGTCAGTCCGCCCCTGAGAGATTGTGTTTGTGTTGGATGAAATTGTCTCAAACCAGCTCCGTTTTCAGGCCACTGTGATAGTGGCAGATACATTTTGGCCTGCTGTAGTCTCCTGACACTGGGATATTGCGGCTGGGCAGGCATTAAATCAGACCCTGCATGAGCAAAATATTTTAACTTTGTATTCCTTGCTGTTCCCTCCAGCACATTTAGCATAGGACATACGTACAGTCAAATAAAACATTAAAATTAGCTGCTAATTGTAGCTCAACAGATATTTGTTCCGATCTGTTAAGGGAGCTTGGACTTCCTGGTCTGTCGGCAGTCTCCTTTTGCTCCTGCATGTGCTGATGATATATCTGGAGGCTGCCAATGCTGTGTAGGGTAGACGACAGAAACCTTTTTATGGAGTTTGGATACTTGTATGGCAGCTCCTGTGCACAGAAAATGGTGGATCAGTACACCAGATAGTGACTTACGAGCTGTTGTGTAAGATAAACTGGCTATTATTTACAGATTATTTTTTATGATGGATTCATTAATTTAAAAAAAGTGGATTAAGTGGATGTGGTATACTTGGACAGAGGGGTGGCTGTGGACGTGGTATACTTGGACAAAGGGGTGGCTGTGGACGTGGTATACTTGGACAGAGGGGTGGCGGTGGACGTGGTATACTTGGACAGAGGGGTGGCGGTGTACGTGGTATACTTGGACAGAGGGGTGGCGGTGGACGTGGTATACTTGGACAGAGGGGTGGCGTTGGACGTGGTATACTTGGACAGAGGGGTGGCGGTGGACGTGATATACTTGGACGTGATATACTTGGACAGAGGGGTGGCGGTGGACGTGGTATACTTGGACAGAGGGGTGGCGGTGGACGTGGTATACTTGGACAGGGGGGTGGCTGTGGACGTGGTATACTTGGACAAAGGGGTGGCGGTGGACGTGGTATACTTGGACAGAGGGGTGGCGGTGGACGTGGTATACTTGGACAGAGGGGGTGGCGGTGGACGTGGTATACTTGGACAGAGGGGTGGCGGTGGACGTGGTATACTTGGACAGGGGGGTGGCTGTGAACGTGGTATACTTGGACAAAGGGGTGGCGGTGGACGTGGTATACTTGGACAGAGGGGGTAGCGGTGGATGTGGCATACTTGGACAGAGCGGTGGCGGTGGACGTGGTATACTTGGACAAAGGGGTGGCTGTGGACATGGTATACTTGGACAGCGGTGTGGCGGTGGACGTGGTATACTTGGACAGAGGTGTGGCGGTGGACGTGGTATACTTGAACAGAGATGTGGCGGTGGACGTGGTATACTTGGACAAAGGGGTGGCGGTGAACGTGGCATACTTGGACAGAGGGGTGGCTGTGGATGTGGTATACTTGGATTTTGCAAAAGCATTTGCCATAGTTCCCCACACACGGCTAATGTGTAAGGTAAAGTCTACCAGCTTGGAAAAGTCTGTATGTAAATAGATAGAAAACTGGCTAAAAGATTGTATTCAGAGAGTAGTGGTTAAGCCCTTCACGCCGGCGCCCTCCGGCTCTTTAAGGGTTTCAGGAGGCGGAGCAGGGTTTAAGGTCATGTGACCGCCATGACACGTTGTGACGGTGGTCACATGATCGGGAAAGGTCCCAATCGAAAAAGGAGATCGGGACCTTTCCGTGAGTACTGGCATGTGTGCTGGGAGTGCGCAGGGCATGCGCTCTCAGCACATATGTTCTTTTTTAATAGAACGCTCGCCGCCTAGGCCCAGACGCTGGGAGGCCACACATTTGCGTTCAGGCAGCGTGAAGAGGTTAATGATTCATACTCTGAATGCTCTAGGGTTGTCAGTGGTGTACCCAAAGGTTCAGTGTTGTCAGTGGTGTACCCCAAGGTTCAGTGTTGTCAGTGGTGTACCCCAAGGTTCAGTGTTGTCAGTGGTGTACCCCAAGGTTCAGTGTTGTCAGTGGTGTACCCAAAGGTTGTGTTGTCAGTGGTGTACCCAAAGGTTGTGTTGTCAGTGGTGTACCCCAAGGTTCAGTGTTGTCAGTGGTGTACCCAAAGGTTGTGTTGTCAGTGGTGTACCCCAAGGTTCAGTGTTGGGACCCTTACTTTTAATATATTTTTATAACCAATATAGGGTCTGAGATTATGAATACCTTTTCAGTCTTTGCAGATGACTCCAAGCTGTGCCGGGGATTAACGTCCTTACAGGATGTCTCCAATTTACAAGCCGACCTCAATGCTCCATGTAATTGGGAAACTATGTGGCAAATGAGGTTTAATGTTGATAAATGTAGGTTCTGCACTTGGGGGCTAAGAATATTATTATTATTATACAGTGTTTATATAGCGCGAACAGTTCGGTCAGCGCTGTACATTACAATTGGACACAGAACATGAGACAGAACAATAACAATAAAATGTGATACACGAGGGGTTCGAGGGCCCTGCTCTTTCGAGCTTACAATCTAGGAGGGAGGGGATGGTGGCACAGGAGGAGATAGCTGTGGGGGATGGAGTGGTAGGGAGAGTGGAGGAGGTCAGCAATTAGCTGAGGGCGGGGTAGGCTTCCCTGAAGAGATGGGTTTTCAGGGTGCGCCTAAATGAGAGGAGAGTAGGTGATAGTGTGATGGATTGGGGTAGGGAGTTCCAGAGGATAGGTGATATCCTGGAGAAGTCCTGGAGGCGGGCATGGGAGGAGGAGACCAGGGAACTAGAGAGAAGGAGGTCTTGTGAGGAGCGGAGTGTGCGTGTTGGGTGGTACTTGGATATTAGGTCGGTGATGTAGTTCGGGGCAGTATGGTGGACAGCTTTGTACGTCAGTGTTAGGATTTTGAATTTGATCCGTTGTGCAATCGGAAGCCAGTGGAGGGATTGGCAGAGGGGGGTGGCGGAGATGAAGCGGTTGGAAAGGTAAATGAGTCCGGCAGCCATGTTCAGGATCGACTGAAGCGGGGATAGCCAGCGGCGAGGCAGGCCAGTGAGGAGGGAGTTGCAGTAGTCGAGTCGTGATATGATGAGGGAGTGGATGAGCTGTTTAGTGGTTTCTGGGGTTAGGAACGTGCGGATTTTGTCAATGTTGCGGAGGTGGAGTCTGCACGAGTTTGTTAGCGATTGGACTTGGGGCTCGAAGGATAGGTTGGAGTCCAGAATGACGCCAAGTACTCTGGCCTGCGGGGCGGGCCTGATGGTGGCGTTGTTGGACATGATGAAGAAGTCAGTGGGGGGTGATGTGCGAGCTGGGGTGCGATGCTGCATGCATCGTACATACTAGGGGGGGTACAACTGCGGGGGAGTCAATGGTGGAGAAGGATCTGGGAGTTCTGGTAGATCACAAGCTTAATAATGGCAGCAATACCATGCTGCGGTTTCCAAAGCGAGCAAAATCCTCTCTTGTATTAGGAGAGATATAGACTCCAGAGAGAGATATAATTTCCCCCGGTACAAATCAGTAATGCCTCATCTGGAATATGCAGTTCAGTTTTGGGCACCAATTCACAAAAAGAACATTAGGGAACTGGAGAAAGTACAGAGAAGGGCAACCAAACTGATAAGAGGCATGGAGGAGCTCAGCTATGAGGAAAGATTAGAGGAACTGTTAAATACAATATTATTATTATTATACAGGATTTATGGCACCAACAGTTTGCTCAGCGCTGTACAATACAACGGGAGACAATACAGCAACAATACGGTCCAATATAAGAGGGTTAGGAGGGCCCTGATCCTTGGAGCTTACAATCTAAGAGGTACATCAGTGGTTCATATAGTGAACTCGGTGTAGAGTTATTCCCCCAGAGGTCATCACAGAGGACAAGGGGGTTCTCTTTATGTCTGGAGGAAAATAAAGTTAATCTCCAAACACGGAAAGGTTTCTTCACAGTGAGAGCTGTGCAAATGTGGAATAGACTCCCTCAAGAGTTTGTACTGGCCAGCTCAGTGGATTGCTGTAGGAAAGTCCTGGATTCTTTCTTGGATACACAGAATATAACTGGATATAACATTTATAGGGAAAGTTGATCCAGGGAATATCCGATTGCCTCCGGGGGATCAGGAAGGAATTTTTTCCCCTACAGGAGCAAATTGGATCATGCTTTGCTGGGTTTTTGCTTTCCTCTGGATCAACTGTGGGTGTAGGATTATAACTTTTTTTTTTTTTTTTATTATTTTGGTTGAACTGGATGGACTTTTGTCTTTTTTCAGCCAGACTAACTATGTAACTAGGTTTCTCTACTGGGGGACACCTGGACAGGAAGTGAAGGGATCCTATATACAGTTGTCCAGTTCTGGGAAGGGCGTCCATGGATATCCTCCCAGAATGTACCCCCAGCGGTGCGCTCCTGGCACTGTCGGTGATTGCTGTGCCCTAACGCAACCGCTGATCACGTGATAAAGTAAAAGGCCAATCACAGCGGCCTTTTACCACGTGATCAGCTGTGTCCAATGTCACAGCAGATCGCAATGTAAATACAGTTGCCGGTTATTGGCTGCACTTTCCTCATGTTGTCACAGTGTGAGGAAAGTACTGCTGATAACTGGCAAATGTGACAGGGGAGATCTGCACTGATAATCAGTGCCCCCCATCAGTGCCGCCTAACAGTGCCCATCATTGCTGCATATCAGTGCATCATCAGTGCCTCCTCATCAATGCCCACCAGTGCCGCCTCAACAGTGCTACCTA